ACTTTTACTTTAGAGCTAAAATAGAATTGAGGAGGGATATATATGGCAGGCATAGGAATTGGGAAGGAAGGGGTGGGTAATTTAACAATGAATCAGGCTGTATTCCATATCCATGAGTTAACTAACAACTTTAAAATATAATAGAGACCATTACCAATATTGATAAAGGCTGTTGAGTGTCCCTCTTCATTAGTTTTCCCCCACTGCCCCTTCAAATGTAACAAATATTCTTAATTTAATATTATTCTCTTGCTCTTCTTTACAGCTTTATTACATAATTATGTATCCCTACAACAATATTTCAGAGGTTCTTTTTGAATTTCATGTAAATGTTTTCACAATACATGTATTGTTCTGTTTTTCTTTTTTCATTCCACAGTATATTCTAGATATTTATGTGTGTAAATACAGCTCATTCATTTTCACTGTTGAGTACTATTCCATTATTATAAATATACCTTGGTGTGTTTATGCATTCAATTGTTCACAGACAATTATTTCTGGTTTGGGGTTAATAAACACAATATTTCTGTGATGTTCTTGTAAACATCTCCTGGTGCAAATGTATAGAATTTCTTTATAGTATATACCTAGGATTGAAAATGCTGGGTCACAGGGCAGCTTGCATATTCAACTTAGCAAGATAATGACGTTATGTTACACAGTACATCTACCAATTTAAATTCCCAGCAACAGTGTTATGACTTTAGCCTGCTTCACAACCTCACCAAGAGCTAGCTGATACTTTCAGACAAAACTAAAGTTTTGTCATTTAATTTGCATTTTTCATAAAACCTTATATTTAGTGTTGATACTTTAACTAAGATACCCTGCCTGGGTATGGTTTTCTGTCTATTTATGTTGCTTTGGATTTGCTGAGAGCCATGGACATGTGAGTTTATGTTTTTTATTAAATTTGAGAAATTTTTGAGAAATTCCTCAGATAATTTTCTTTTCCCCTAGTCTCTCTGTCTCCTGTTCTTCAGGGACTCCAATTACACATTAAAAACCACTTGATATGGGCGTGAAACCTTAAGAATTCTGGAAGAAAATGTGGAGAAGACTCTTTTAAACATCGGCCTAGGTAAAGAATTTATGAAGAAGACACCCAAAGCAATCACAGCAGCAACAAATATAAACAAATAGGACCTGATCAAATTAAAAAGCTTCTGCACAGCCAAGGAAACTGTCCTTAGAGCGAATAGACAACCTACAGAATGGGAGAAAAATATTTGCTTTCTACACAACCGATAAAGGGCTAATAACAAGAATCTATATAGAACTTAAGAAAATGAACAAGAAAAAATCAAACAACTCCATCAATAAATGGGCAAAGGACATGAACACAAACTTTTCAAAAGAAGACAGAATAATGGCCAGAAAACATATAAAAAAGTGTTCAACATCTCTAATCATTAGGGAAATGCAAATCAAAACTACAATGAGATATCACCTAACTCCAGTGAGAATGGCCTTTATCAAAAAGTCCCAAAATAATAAATGTTGGCATGGATGTGGAGAGATTGGAACACTCTTACACTGCTGGTGGGACTGCAAATTAGTACAACCCCTGTGGAAAGTAATTTGGAGATACCTCAAGGAGCTAAAAATAGAAATACCATTTGATCTAGCAATCCCACTACTAGGCATCTTTTTTGACAAAAAAGGTGTTCTATAATAAAGACATCTGCACTCGAATGTTTATAGCAGCACAGTTCACAATTGCAAAGATGTGGAAACAACCCAAGTGCCCATCAATATATGAGTGGATTAATAAAATGTGGTATATGTATACCGTGGAATACTACTCAACTACAAGCAAAAATGGTGATCTAGAACCCCTTATATTATCCTGGATAGAGATTGCACCCATCCTTGGAAGTGAGATATCACAAGGATGGAAAAACATGCACCACATGTACTGGCCATCAAATTGGTACTAATTGATCAACATTAAGGTGTTCACATGGTAGTAATACTCACTGGGTGCCAGTCAGGTCAGGGGAGTGGGGAATGGGGCCTAGAGTGGGTGTGGTGAGTAAACCCACAGCTAATGGAGAGGGGGCGCACTGCATGGGGGAAGGACACACTTGTGGCCCTGGCTTGAGCGAGGCAAATGCATTTCATGTAACCAAAATGTTTGTACCCCCATAATATCCTGAATTTAAAAATAAATAAATAAAACCATAATGAGATATCATCTTAAAATAAATAAATAAAATCACTTGATATTATTGTACGAGCCACTGAAGTACTATTCCTTTTTTTTCTTTTAATATTCTCCTGTATTTCTCTAACTAGATAATTTCTATCAATCTAGCTTCAAGTTCACTGACACTTAATTCATTTGTCTTCAATCTACTATTAAGACCATAGGAACTTTTTTTGTTTGTTTGTTCATTTGTTTTTACAGATATTTTACTTTTCAGTTCTAGAACTTCCATTTGATTCTTTTCATGGTTTCCATTTCTTCACGAGATCCTCCATCTGATCTTTCATTATGACCATATTTCCCTTTCTCTGAACATGCTTATAATAACTGCATAAATGACTTTATCTGCTAATTCTAACATTTAAGTTATCTTGGAGTCATCTTTTTTCTTTCCATCTTTTTTTTTAGAAATGGTATCTCACCTTGTTGCCCAGGCTGGTCTTGAACTCCTGAGCTCAAGTAATCCTCCCACCTCAGACTTCCATGCAGTTGTGGGGAACCTGTGGCCTTCAGGCCACATGTGGCCCTCCAGATCCCTGAATGTAGTCCCTTGACCAAATCCAAATTTCACAGAACCAATCCCTTTTAATAAACATTTAGTTTATTATAATAAAGGGATTGGTTCTGTGAAATTTGGATTCAGTCAAAAGGTGGCACTCAGGGATCCAGAAGGTCACACATGGCCCCAAGGCCGCAGGTTCCCCATCCCTCTGCACTCAGCCTGGTGTTATTTTATATTGACTGATTTTCATACTGTTGATGGAAATCTGAGTTGTCTTCAATTTGGGACTACTACAAATAATGCTGGCAAGAATAATATTTTATATTTCTCCTGACTCTACCTAGGAGTGCTGAATTATAGGATATATGTATCAGCTACTCTTTTTTTATTATTGTATTTATTTATTTTATTTCAGAGTATTACAAGGGTACAAGCGCTTTGGTTACATAAATTGCCTTTGCATCTTCCCAGTCAGAGCTACAAGCATGCCCATCCCCCAGACAGCATATACCACATCCATTAGGTGTGAATTTACCCATCCCCTCCTCCTCCCTCCCACCTGCGTGACACCCTATGAATGTTACTTCTAATATGTGCACATTAGTGTTGATGGATTAGTACCAATTTAATGGTGAGTACATGTGGTGTTTGTTTTTCCATTCTTGTGATACTTCACTTAGAAGAATGGGCTCCAGCTCCATTCAGGATAATATAATAGGTAGTTCACCATTTTTTATGGCTGAGTAGTACTCCATGGTATATGTATACCACATTTTATTAATCCACTCATGTATTGATGGGCACTTGGGTTGTTTCCACATCTTTGCAATTGTGAATTGTGCTGCTATAAACATTCAGTGCAGATGTCTTTTTTATAGAATGTCTTTTTTTCCTTTGAGTAGATACCCAATAGTGGGATTTCTGGATCAAATGGTGGTTCTATTTTTAGTTCTTTGAGGTATCTTCATACTGCTTTCCATACAGGTTATACTGGTTTGCAGTCTCACCAGCAGTGCCTGAGTGTTCCTATCTCTCTGCATCCATGCCAACATTTGTTGCTTTGGGACTTTTGATGTTAATAAAATCCATTCTCACTGGAGTTAAGTGATATCTCATTATAGTTTTGGTTTGTATTTCCCTGATCAGAGATATTTAGCATTTTTTCATGTTTGTTGGCCATTAATCTATCTTCTTTTGAAAAGTTTCTGTTCATGTCCTTTGCCTACTTTTTAATGGGGTTGCTTTTTTTTCTTGCTGATCTTCTATATAATGTCAGCAGTTCATAAGAATTCTTATCTGTATTAATTTTTAATCACATTTGCATATTTTTGATTTCAAATAATATTAAGGGAAGGTATAAGATTTTTATGTTTTTCCCCCAGGAAAGCACATACTCAATACACTGAGAACCACTGCTTTCCATTCAGGATTCAAAAACTATCTATTGAGTACCTACTAAGTATCAGTCATTGTTCAAAGACTTAGGAATAAGATGACAAAATACAGCTCTGACATCATGAGCTTACATTCTAAGGCTTTAATTTGTTTCCTACAAATGCATAGTTCTCAATCCCCTTGTGCAGCAGGATAATCATATAGAGAGCTTTTAAAAAATGTAGATTCCAAGGCCCCACCTCAAACTTACTTAATGTCACTTTTCAATATGGGGGTAAGGAATATAAGCACACAGAGAGTGTATGTATGCACATATTTTTTTTTT